TTGGGAAACACTGAGCTGGTGTCATAGTCCCATTCTAGCTTATCCCTATAGACCAATGTATCTCAGCCATGGCAACTTTAAGATGTGTGGACTTCAACTCCCAGAATTCCCATCAGCCATGCTGACTGGGGAATCCTGGGAGTTGAAGTGCACACATCTTAAAATTGCCAAGGTTGAGAAGCTCTGCTATATACTGAAGGATCCAGTTCCATTTCAGACAGTTCTGGGGGATGTCTTCTCAAACCTGACCCCCACTCTATTAATGAGGCGGCTATGTGCATCCTGTTCCATGTTGGGGTCAGTGATGCCCAATAGTACACAGAAGAGTTGCAGGTGATGAAGTGTGAAGGCAAGAGGCTTTAGCAGAGTTCTAAGGGCAAATCTGATTGAAAATGGTATGGGCATCATTACAACACCTGGGCTATGGCAGACAGGGACATTTCCTCTCTGATCACATATGTGGAAAATCGACCAATGGCACCTTGAAGGTTTTCAGCCTATTAGAAACAATTTACATTATCCATAAAATTGCTGAGTTTTGTGTTGTGCTTGATGCTAGGACAGAGTGCCATATTCAAGCTGTTTTGTACCTTATTTAAAAAATGTATGTGGATCAGTTTCACTATTTGTCACTCAAGGAAATGGAGTTTCTATATCTATTGCTCCACTGCTTATCTGTTACATCTTTTTCTGGCTTGGCTTCTAAAGACTTTTATGTAACCAATGATTGCTGAAATAGACGACACCACTCTTCAGCAGCAGAATTCCTTTCAGGAGGCAGTGATGAAAACTTTGCTTAGAAGCCATGCATGGACCCAACCAATCTGAACATCTATAGGTCCAATACTTATTTCTCCTGGTTCTATCAGATGATGTGTTTGGGAGGCATCTACTTGACTCCTTGGGAGCTGTCCTAGTCAGTTATACAAAGTTTGTTGCTCTCTCTCTCTCTCTCTTTCTGAATGAAACTGTGGGGGAGTATCATACAAAAGTTTTGAGTTAGTGGCTACCAGTATATAACAATATTCAGCTATGTTTCTGTATTCAGAAACTCAAGATAGGATAGTTCTTGGGGTTAGACAAGATGGGGTTCCTGGTGATTCTGAAGGATGGCTTGAGAAATTGCCTGATCAGTATAGCATTGCATTTCTGCTTACAGACCAGATTTGTAGGTTGGATGTGTTCTTGGATCCAACATTAATGCTGTATAGCCACATGCCATTTGTAAAATGATCCTTTCATTAGCTTATGCTGCTAATCACCTGGAGGAGAAGCTCCTTGTAGCAGTGATACATGCACTAGTGTCCTCAATTTTGGATTATTGCCATGAACTCTGTAGAAGGTATCCTTTGAAAATACTTTCCAGGCTGAATTTGAGCTCATTACAATATATATAACCTTACATGATTTGGTCCCAGATTATTTGCAGGAGCATCTAACGTCATACAGATCATCCTGAACTTTTAGATCTTCAAAGGGGCACTTTTTATATGGATCCTCTTAATATCAACCACCACCCCCATCATTTCCATGGCTGTGCCTAGACTATGGAACACTTTGTCTCTGGTTCCTATTTCTTATAAATTAGAAGGCGGCTGAAAACCTTCCTTTTTATGCATACCTTTTAGGGTTTAAAGAACTTTTTAGTGTTTTCAGTTTGGTTTTAATAATTTGCATTTTTATTTACAAATCTTAGACCACAGAAGTGTGTGTGTGTGTAGCAGCTACCAACAATGTAGCAATTTTTTCACATAAAATAACATTAAAATGTTGAAGAGTATGAAAAATTACATGACAACAATGTAGTATTGAGGTAGACTAAGTGATTCATCATAGCTCAGTGTAGTATTGAGGCAGACTAAGTGATTCATCATAGCTCAGGAACAGTGCTGAGTTTGCTTTAAATCCTATTGTTCTGAGGTTTTGTAACCAGTTTAAACACTAGATGGATATAGCATGTGTCATCTCTGATGAATACTTCATTTTTTTTCTTCCACTAGAGCAGAGCGGTCCTAATCTTATTGGGTGTGCCCCTTTGCCAACACAATGGAGCACTACTGATGGGGTGGCATGCCTACTCTGGAGGCCTCAGATAGACTTGCTGGAATTGGGGCACCAACATTCCGCTGTTTGAACCTCTTTTTAATTCAAATCCTTTTTAATTCAGTTTTTGTAGCAAAACTTCACTCTGGCAACTTAATTCCTTGCCCCTGCATTCAGTGCCACGGAGATAGAGCAACCTGGCCATTGATAATCTATAGGGTTTTGGATGCCATAAGGACTCTCCGACAGATCTTTTCTTCTCTCAGCTAACTACATAGGACTGATGTATAGTTCACACATGTATATTGATATAAGTGGTTCCTTTTTTCAGGCAGCTTTATTTAGCAAAAACGAAAGTAGATGGTTGAGCATGTGATATATGAGAGCATACAGGCCTGCTTTTTTGCCAAACGAAGCAATATTTTCAGCCCACTATAATGCAATATATACTTTTACTTGCATAAATCAGGCACAAATTCTGAAAAATACTTTTCTGACAGAAGAGAACTCAGCAGGATTGCTATATTTCAGTCAACCTAACCGGTATCAAATAACCTCCAAAGAACACATACCTATTAGGTTTGTGAAACTCTACAATAATATTTGTTACAATGATTACCAAACAAATATTTTTTGAAATTCAAAGTATGGTGGAGCTTGGGACTTTTAACTCTAAAGCATATTTTTTTAATACCACATCAATTAGAAATAACACATGCTTTGCATATGCAGGGCTAGCTTGCTGCTTAAGAGAATGTGGTTCTTGATTCAAATGTCATATTTTTATGAATAGGAATAGCAACCTTTAGCCTCACCTCCTGAGTTCCCCAACTATTCATCCATTAAATGGCCTACTAGTATATACTGCTTGGAAATATAATAAAAACTGCCAGCCTTCATGAGAACCATTCAAATGGCAGCCTAAGCAGTTTCTGCACAGAACAGGGCAGTCCTTTGCTTCAAGCATGAAAAGTCTTAGCTTGGTCCAATGTATATATGAGGCAGCCTATACAAGAAATATATGCATCCTTTCCATCTCTAGTTCAAGACTTGTGTTAGTGATTTTTGTTGGCAAAGAGACAGATATGGTTTGCAGTTGCATTTGTAATGAGCCTGCTCCTGCCATGGTATCTCACTGGCTGTTCACATACCCATGTGTTCAAGTAGGTACACAACAGCCATACTTACTTTGTTGATAAGTACCTGGGAATTGAATTCTAAAGCCTCTGCAGGGAAATAGGTGGAAAAGGCTGGAACAGATATTTCTCTGAAGGCGCAAAGCGTTCCATCTCATACAGCACAGGTCCATCTATGTTAAATGGACAATACCCTGTTCTTGTTTTACCATTGGCTATTAATTGCTATATCGGTTATTGCAGTTTATCTGTTTGCATGACATAATTGAAAGGCAAAACATTTTTTTTAGCTTGGCGCATTGTATGAATGCAGCTTATAGGCTTAGTATGTGGTTTAGTGTGTTATTAGAACCCAGAGATAGTTGGATTGAATAAAACGTAGTACGATTAACTAAGGATAAGCATGCTGTGCAAACGCAAAGTTTATCTACTGTCAAGCCCCACAATCTCACAGCTACGTTGCAGGAATACTGCATTTTGTTCCACCGATGCCAATTCATCGTCTCCAGCTTTTTTCCCTCTGAGGACCCTTTTGAGAAAGCCTGTTACACAACGCTACAAAACTACACACACAAAGACAATACAATAATATATTACAGAATGAGCCACAAATAGAAATGTTTCTTTGCAGAAGTTCCTAACTCGAGTCTGCAACATTCAACCATGAACTGCTTGGGTGAAAGGACATGAAAGCTGACATACCAATTCAAAACACTTCTTTACATGTTCAGAGGTCAGAAAGCCATATGCATCAAGGTGTGGATACTTTATACGCACATATTAGTTCTCGTACTTACACTATGTATAGATGGAAGCACGTACAACTCTTACTTCCAGATCACACTCACAACAATCCTCTGAAGTTAGTTGGGTTGAGAGCGAGCAGCTGGTGAAAGTTGAGACTTGACCGCTGCCTCTGAAAGAAGTCGTCCGTCATTAAACTAAATGAATATTTTTATTACGGCCATCGACCAGAATTTCAAACAGAAACACATTAAAAAAATAAGAATAAAGTAAAAACAAAACAAGATAAAACATTACAATTGGTGGTCAGCGGACAATCCAAGTCTGCCTAATTTTACAGGCAGGATAACAAAATTTAACTACACCCAAGGAGACTGACTCATACTGATCAGATAACTGTACATAAAAAAATCAGAGGTAAGGAGTTTTAAGACGAGTCCTCGAGTCCTTATAAGAGAGGGCACAAGATGCATTTCAATAGCACCTTGGGCTTATTAACTGTGGCCCCCGACGCGCAGGCACGTCTATCGAAAGACGAACCAGAAAATCCTATTTTTGAGGACCGACTTTTCCCCCTACTATCGAAGCAGATCTCCAAATTCCCGCCCCTGCAGCACACTCTAGTGCCTCAGCAGCACTCACAATCAACTCTAGGCGGTTAACTCCACCAGCACCCTTTCCCT